ACAGTAATTTCACATGTATCTGGATGTATGCGAAAGTTTTAACATAAAATTGATTGTACAAACAGCAATTTACTAACTATAGTTATAACTAACTTTTTTTTAAAGATTTGCTTAGTTTCGCGATAATACTAATTTAGGCGGTCAATTATAAATATTATTAATAATGACTTGGTGTTATCCTTAAAAAATAACGTGCTATAAAAATCGCTTAGTTAAATAAACAATAGTACTCAATCGATTAACATTAAATATAAAATTTTGACGTGAAAAAGGTTTATAATATAATAATTAAAATTCAATTATTGAATGAATCAATTCAATGATCATTCCATTAAAAATTATCAAAGTTAGTTTCATTTTTATGGGGATAATCTGGTTGGGAAAATTGGAAAACTGCACACCATACTTTCGTATGGTGTGGTTTCTAAACTAGATGTGTTTTAGGTCAGTAATGCAAAAATATAACAAGAAATCGGTGCCCATTGGTGGTCCATAACATTTTATGGGATACATTGAATAATATGGAGGTTCAGGCTAAACGGTTCAGTATATATGCATCATGCATAATGCATGGTTTCACCACAGTTTTTCAAAAGTTAAAATTAAAATTTTTTGAACCCTTTTAACGAATTACAAAATTTAATATGGAGAAACTTAAGTAGATTTCTTATATCAAAGGTTTTCGTCTTTTTCTCAGTTTCATTTAAAATGATATTAATGGTTTCTTTACTTTGAACTGTAGAATTAACCATCTTTGTATTTTACTTTAAAATTAAATATATCTGCTATGTAATTACATCGTTTTATTTCAACTTTAAAAAGCTATCTATCTAAAACAACATAAAGTTTATAATAAACAGGTTCATGCTATAGAACATAAATAAAAATAGGTTAGTGGGTGTGATTTTAAATTAACTACTGAATATAGAACATTACTATGAACCGTGAGATTTTTTTTGCACAGCTCTGAACCTTTCACCAACGCTATAGCACTGTATAAAGTACCTACATAGTTTAGCCAACCGTGCCAGCATTTAGAAATTGCTTTTGTTTCGGTACACTTAGCTATAGGTATATAGTGCTAAACTTTGCTATAAAAAATTAAAGTATGTACAACTCTTAACAGTTTCAAACTTATCTAGGTTTTACATACATATCACAATTTTCTAATATTATGAACCAAGCTTTAATATTCAGTAAAAGCTTGTATTAATTTGTTGACCCGATAAATGAATACATGAACCTTATAGCACCTTAGAGTCTTGCGAATATACAGGATGTCCTAATAAAAACTTTTTTTTACTTCACTTTTAAATGTTTTATCTTTTTTTTCATCGAATTTTATTTACGAAATATTATAAAGGAGGCAATGTAAATAAAAACTGAAAGGGATCAATGTTTAAAAAAAAACACTTTTTAACTGAACAATTAAGGAAATCCTGTATATGTTTGTATTCACTAGACTATAGTCTGTAGGTATAAGGGTTATTTGGTCTTACATTTTCTGCTTTTGGTAATTGCCCCACCATATTGTACAATTTTAAATAAACCATGATTGTTTTTAAGCTTTGGCAAAAGTTTTTTAACAAGAACTATTTGAAATTCAAGAAAAATTAAAAGTATACAACAAACAATTTTAAAGAAGTACTTAAGTTTATGGTCACAAATTTACCCTGTTTATAATATATAGAAAAAGATTTAAAACAATATTTGTATTACTTTTTCTAGCTTTTAGGTTACACTAGATAATTTTCACTATTGATATACATTTCTAAAATATAACATTTATTGCCAAATTTTTAAATCCTACCTACCTAGTTAAGGAATGTTTAAATGATATGTGATTTTATTTTTGCCACACACATAATATGTATATGTAAATTTAGTTGGGTTTTGTTTGCTTAAAAATATTTACAAATAGTAAATTGCACATATCTTAAATTAATAAGCTCCTTGTTGTTGTTCCAGAATACCCTGTGTATCTTTGGACTCAAAGTATAAAAAGATTGCAATATTAACGAATAATTTGTCAAATAACTTATTTTAAATAGAAACTATATACATATTATGTATTTTAGCCTAGTATACAGTATAAAGTTTTTTACATAACATCTAGTGGGTGTATATATGTAATTGCTTGTTTTGCATGATTAGATTGGGAATATTTAAGATATATATTTCCCACAAAAAGGTTAGAACTTGATACGCTATACTAAAAATTATTGAAGGCACGAAAAGGAATAATTATATACCTAAAAATAGTAAGTATACTTGGATGATAATAATTTAAATTTAAAGATTACATTATCGATTGATTTTTAAAAATATCCAAGTACCTATGTAGGTTAAGTACATTAAGCTGAAATGGAAATTTAAAATAAACATGGCAAAAAAGGTCGGTAATAAAAATAGCTCAGTCTTATAGATTTTGACCACACAGCAAACGGAAAATTATAGAGGTGTATAGGATGACGCCACGTTTGAATATCGATTTCTAAATCTCCCTACGGTATAGAGTGGTATTCGTCAGTCGAGCGTTTCAATACTCTCCACAGTATAGAGGTCGTAATTTCACTTTTGAACTAGTTTTAATATAAAAATTATTTTATGCTTAAAAAAAACTATATACGACATGATTGTGATTTTTTTCATTTTATTAATTAATTAAGCTGTGTTGAATATTTTTCCTAAAGGAATAATTGCCAATGGGCCATTAATTCATTTGTTCGTAGATGCTACAATAACCTGCACTGGTGTGTACTTTTTCATCAACCAGATTTAAATATTGTGAAGATAGTGCAGGGTCTACCAACAGACCTAATTACTAAATTATTAAAGTTTAATAGCATATCGATCATTTTTCAACATAACCTCTTAAATTTGTAATACAAATATAGGTACTTTATATAATACATAAATATACTTAACATCATATCCTCTGTGCTTTACATACCTGAGTTGTTAAGGTAAATAAAAATCAGACAAAGGAACCAAAGAAAGGAACTATTTTCAACAAAATCATATGGAGAAATGAGAAAATTCATCCATCAAAAGATATTACACCCTCTTTTTATACTCTCAGAAATATTGACTAGAACAGTATTAGAGAGACTCCAGTTTCTATAACTTGGTAGAGTAAAGAGAAGTCGAAACCGTTGCGATATTGCATTGCGCTGTTTTTGTATAATTCTCGGGGACATTAACGAAAATCATTGCCGGTAAAATTCGAAAAGCTTGAGTTTCTATGTCTCTGAGGAGAATAGGAATCCGAAGTTGCTGCACCATTGGACTGAACCCTTTTTTAATAATTTCTAGAGACATATATGACTGCACCATTCGACAGGGTCGAGTTTCTACTCCTCTGTTGAATATAGAAAATCAAAATAATGTATCTTGTAAGACACCATTGAGTTTGACTTTAAATATAGTCGTGCATAGGTATAGAGCCGAAAAATATAAAAACAAAGCACGATTCAATACAGTTATGATAAAACTTTAAGATTTGATATTCAAACGCGGAGTCATCCTATACACTTCTATAATTTTTCGTTTGCTGTGCAGCTCGACGCAAATATGGGGCCCAAAATATTTTCCAAGGTCTGGTTTAGGCGATACGGGTAGCACCCGATACAAAGAAAAATTGTTAAATAATAAGTTGAACGATAAAAATCAGAAAACAAAATAATTTGAATGATAAAAAACAATAAACACCATAAAAACATGCGTTAAATACCACAGACTAAACCAAAACATACGGAAAATAAGGCGTGCAAATGGTGTGTCTATATATGCAATAAATGCGTCTATATGTGCAATAAATGGTACCAAAATACTGTGCTCCCAATTTTATTTACAACCTCAAAAAAATTTTCAAAAAACTTTTTGGATCTATTTAATTCATTAGCAATCGAAAAATTTTATTTTTACCCAGGACCTTTAAAAAAAGTTAAAATTTGTTGCCTTGTGTTATTAAGGACGCTACAATGTAGCGGCTACATAAATTGCCGAGTAACGTCTATATAAATTATTTTTTAAAGAAAGTAGTTTAATTTTCAAAAAACACCTAAAAAAAACAACTTCGAATTCAATTAATTCGATTAATCATTATTAAAAAAGGTGAGGGACCATGGTTATTGTAAACAACTTTATTCATTGCCATGTAGTATTGTAGTATGTACCTCTCTCAAAAGTAAACGTTTTGTAATTAAACGGGTTAAAGGTTAGGTAACATTTTAACAAGCGCATGCTGTCAGTATCTAAAAGGTCATTGGTGTTAAAAGTAATTTACTGTTAGCATTGGTGCTAAAAATTAATAACGACAAATGTTCGACAAAATAGGTTCTCACATTTAGCGGCTTTTTATTTATCAAAATATTGTCGTTTCTCTAATTTAACATGACACCTGCAAACAAAAGATATTGTAAATGCAATACCAAATTTAATTTTAATCAATTACAATTACAATATTTTTGGCCTTTATTATTAAAAATGTTTTTAATCGCCCCTTCAAGTGTAAAATGTATGTTGTATTTTTATACTGTATACTATTTTTTTATCTCAAATAAAAAATTAAATAGTGCCCAACCCAACTATTATATATCCCAAGTATACCGTGCACACATCTAATCACCCTTATTAACTAAGTTTTACACATAACTACTAGTTGTTTCTCATAAGAATTTATATTTGTTTCATTTAAAGGCAATAGATTTAAACTTATTTTATAGAAGACGTTAAATTTAAAGTCTATAATACATGTTAGTTATTAAGTACAATATTACATCATAATTAAAATTAAATAAATAAACAGGTACTTAAAATGTACCTACTAATTTAGATTTATTATTTACAAAAAGTAATTATCACTATTTGGTTCTCACATTGTAGTAATCGCAATGAGTTTATAAATTGTTCCCAGACTTGGGGCACATTAAATTAAATTTATTTTAGTATTGCGATCATCTGTATATTACGTTATATTTTATGTTTTTAAAAATGTTAACAGATTATTATGGTTTTAAAATTTTAGAGCCTATAAGATTACGAATTAAAAAAAACACCAAAATATAATAACGTAATATCGCAATAAAGAGCAACCATTCTTAAGATTGTCAAAAAGGTCATGCAATACGTTGTCTTAAATATTGTATCTTTTAGTATTTTTATGTCGTTGATTCTGGAGCTCATAACATTTTCTTCCTTTATCGGTCTCCGTTTTAAAGATATTGGTGCTTTAAAATTAAAAATATACAAAATTAATAAAAATCAGTAGGTACCAATATTTTTAAAATACACATTGACAAACAAAAGTAGAAAAGTTAAAAAATCACCGATTAAATTTACTTCGATCAAGTCTGTTTAAAGATGACAAACATATTTTGGACCTGCATTTAGTAAATATATATAACTATATTTATTAGAATCAATAACAATTAGAATAAAATTGGAAGCATCAATTTTAAAAAACATGACATATTTACAACTTTATCACAATTCATCAGGATATTGAGTATATCCTCCATAGGTACATACATACATTTAGAAATCATGTCACACTGCAAGGCATTTCGAGAAGAAGAAATAGTTTAAACGTTTTTGCCGTTATCAAATTCTGCGACGTAGAAAGGATTTACACATTTGTTCCTGGTTGAACGTAAGCCTTTTGAAAACTTTCCTGACCTGAAAGGAAGAAAACTTATCATAAAGACTCTAATAAAGAAGAGAATACAAGAAAGAATAATAAAATGAAAAAATAAATAATGAAAAATAATAAATTTAATATTTTAATTTATCTTTAAGGGTTCTATTATTGTCAACGCTCAAAAGAATAATCTTATAGTCTGTAAAAAATTCGATAACTAATGACAGCTCTAAGCTATCTAATCTCACGTTATAGTTTTAATGATTGTTATTATAATTTTAAGTACGTTCTATGCATCGTTTAACAAATAAAACAGTGCCTTCAAACTTTTAGCTCAGCACAAAAAGACTCACTTCTCAGCCTTAAATAACTAAATAGTTAATATTATCTTCAACTGTTACGTAAATAGTCCAGTCAACGTGGCATGTAAGCGCCCTGGTCTCAAGGGGAGGCAAACCAGGCTGTCGCCCTAGGACCCGTGTTCTAAGGTACCTACCGCGCGCTAGTGAGCGACTTTTTTCTATTGTTATGTTATATGTATGTTTCACACAAAATATTCTTCTGGAAATCATACTTATTTCGCGTTTACAAATAACGATTTATTATATATTAAAAAAGTCAACATATATGTTGTTATATATAAAGTCTTTGCATGTATTAATTTGTACACTCTTCTGTAATGAATAGTGCATAAGTATACAGGGTGTATCACGGTCGATGGTAGGTTAGACGTTTATGGAGAACAGCAAAAGATATCGAATTTAAATTTTTATATAATATCATTTAAAATATTTTTCTAAATTATTTTGAAGAAAATTCCTCTTTCGGTTTTAACGGAAGCGATATCAACTTTGTTATTTTAAATGGATCACCACAGTCCTATACTTAAACTTAATAGTTTTTGAGTTACTAATTTTTTTTTGGAAAATTTGGTCAGTTTCACCCTGAACAAAAAAGCTTATAACTTTTTTAATATTAGGTTTGCTGATATTCGGTTGGATTTATTAAAATCCTAAAGCACTGTTTTAAAGATTCCATGTAAATTATTGTAATATTTCAAAAAGGATACTTAAAAAAACAATGTGAATGTAGCAAACTTAAAACAGCAATAACTTTTTTATTCTCAATGGAACGCCCTGTATATTTTTACATAATTAAATGCTGCTTGTACTTAGCTATTCATGTGGATAAATGTATTATCATGGGAAGAGACGTAAAAATAAAATAAATGCTCCAAAGATTAAAAGAAGAATTTGAGAAGCAATAGGAGGACTTTTATACCTAACATATGTTACATATGTAAAACAAGACCCGAATTCGGGTCATTTAAATGGCTTATGCAGTGAATTGGGAGAGTAGATCAATGGAAAACCCAGAAAAGAGTAATGTACAAGATGTCAAAATAACTCTCAGATATTTGAAAGGAAATCAAAATTTTTGAATACAATATACATCATCTAAAGACTATATAAATGAAAAAATTGTAAAGATTGAAGCATTCAGTGATTCTGATTATGCATTATTATATTATTATTATTATTATGATACAGAGACAAGAAAAGGCACAAGTGGATATGTCATAATGTACGCAGGTGGACCTATAGCCTGGCGCTCACATAAACAAAGTGTTATTGCACAATCAACAACATAGGCTAAATTTATAGCCGCAGCAGAATATTGTAAGGAAAATAAATTCTTAACAACCTTCTTCAATGAGCTGACAGGAAAGAAAGTGTGTGCTACTATAAATGTAACATTGCAATGCTATTGTAATGTTTGTTATGTTACATTTATGTTACGTAACAAACTTATACCCATCATTTACATCTCGCTCGTGTTACCACCTCGGCTAGGTATATAAACGAAGTTAATACAGCGCACCATGTCTATTTGTCATTGGACCTCAAACAGTCTGCCTGATTATGGGAAAGTCAGAATACGATATTATGTATCATTTGATACGCTTTAGCCTTAAACTGACGTGACTTTCTCATGTCGAGCATAATAACGTTGCAACGTAACAATGTTACATAACCGTAAAGGCCCTGTTATGTAACATAAAAAAAATCTTTTAAGTGTTTTGCAAATTATAGTTATTTAACTTACTCTCAAGGTAGGCAATAATTCCTGGGTCACCTATGTGTACTGCCAGCATTTTTGGAGTGAGACCTTTCTTATCTTGAATGGTCAACGAAGCCCCGGCGGCTACTAAAACTCCACATAGTTCTTTCCACTTGTATGCAACTGCTTTATGAAGAGCTGTTTGACCCCTAATAGAAGATGGAAAATGAAATGTTTACAGTTTTTCTTTATATAATATAATATATTATAGTATTTATGGCATTCACTTACAAGTGCGTTTCTTGCACGTCGACACTATCAGAAGCATAAATAAGGATGTATTTGACGATCTCCATGTGTCCATACCTTACAGCATAATGTAATACTGTTTGTCCAGCAGGGTCCTTGCTTGTTAAAGAGCATCCTTGTCCGTGAAGCAGTTTAATCTATTAAAATATAATTAACAATTGTGCTTCATCATAAATGATTTTCTTACCAAGGTAGAATCACCAACCTTAGCTGCGTTTAGCATAGCTTCGGCTTGCTTGTCACTTAAAAAAAAAACTTTAGGCATCAGGTTTGATAATTAAATGGTTTATATAAACATTCTTACCAACGAAACAAAATCAAAGATTCCGGAGAAAAATCAAACATTCTTTTAGAAATGCTGCATGCAAATTTTTAGAAATAGAGTAGAAAAAGATCAACAATTTTTAAAATAAATGAAAATATAAATTAATTTATTTGGGAAACAAATTAATAAAATAGGCCAAAAAACTTATTAGAAATTTTTAGAAATAGAGTAGAAAAAGATCAACAATTTTTAAAATAAATGAAAATATAAATTAATTTATTTGGAAAACAAATTAATAAAATAGGCCAAAAAACTTATTAGATATTATTTATTTACCGTGATAGACTGTACCCATTTTGAGTTGTTTTAGATGTGCTGGGTTCTTCAGATTTGGTTGATGATGAAGAAACTGTTGGGTAGTCACTGGGCGAATCAAGGCTACCTTCATAGCTATAAGAAAACGTAAAAAATTGAAAATATATCCATATTTATTTTTAAACTGATATGTAACTCAATTAGGATATGGCAAATTAATAATTATAAAAAAAACGTCTTATCATCAACAATCATCATCAATCATTTACCTTTATGTAATTTCCCTATGTAAAAGTAGGTAAGTATTATTTTTTTTCAGAAATTGTATGTTTTTTATTTTAATTTCTGAAAAAAAATTAATTTGAAAAAACTTTCATATAGGCTTTTATATATTGAAATGATCTTAACTAATTTTTGCAAAAACTTGACATACAATGTTCGTGTTTGCGATCGTCGAAATATTCGCTATCATAATATTATGGTAAACTTTTAGAAAGATTTCATAAATCTTTTGAATACCATTTAGTATACATAAGTATACTTATTGAAAGATTTATAAAATATTACTTTTTAACTGAGACATTTATTAACACCTTAAAATAAAAGTCTTTTTTATTGGTTTTCGTAAATATCTTATAAATATATATACACTATCGGCCAAAAGTAAAGAAACAAATGATTTTCCCTAATATTTTTATTATTGAATGGAATAAAAACATATAACTTGGTAAACTTATGTATAAATACAACATGAATAATGTAATATAAGGTACACACAGTATACACAGCGATTCGAAAAAAATGGGATGGTTCGCCTTTTTTAATCGGCCAAAAGTAAAGAAACACAATAAATAAACCATTTTAGTACATTAATTACAACTTGTACGGTTGTCTATTCAATAAATTCTTGAAAAGTGATCATTTTTAAATATGCCTAAAGGAAAAAGTTTATCTGTTGATATGCGCAAATTAATTATTAAAAAGTTTGAAGCCTGTGAGAGGCAAGTGGACATTGCAAAGCAATTAAATTTAAACCGGTGTGTTATTTCAAAAACCATTCGTTTGTATAAAGATCGTGGAACCCTAAAAAATGCACCAAAGTCAGGGAGACCTTCAAAAAGTGATTCTGTTGCAAACAGGAACATAAAAAAGCTGGCTATAAATAATCCATTCTGGAGCGCAGCGACGATAAAAAAGAATATTCCGGGATTGGCTCTGTCGGTGAGGTCCATTAGACGTCGTCTAAATGAAATGAAGCTGTATGGACGAAGACCAGCTAAAAAACCATTTATATCGACGAAGAATAGGACTGCCAGGTTAGCGTTTGCACGGGAACACCTGAACTGGACTGAACTGCAATGGAAAAATGTGTTATTCTCTGACGAATCCAAGTTTAACATGTTCAGTTCTGATGGAATACGATGGGTGAGACGTCCAAGAAACTGCAGATTCGATCCTACATACACTAAAGGTACAATAAAGCACGGGGCTGGTAATGTAATGTTTTGGGGGGCATTTTCTGGTCGAGGTATGGGACCTATTATTCCTATAGACGGCATAATGGACAGATTTGTGTATTTAAATATTTTAAAAAACCATATGGTTCCTTTTACTGACGATAATATGCCCTTGATGTGGGTATTTCAGCACGACAATGATCCCAAACACAAAGCAAAAATTATTACAGAATGGTTAGAGACGGAAAAAGTGAATGTGATGAAATGGCCAGCCCAGAGTCCCGACCTTAATCCAATTGAAAACCTTTGGGACCATGTAGACCGCAAAATTCGCGAGGAACACCCCGAAAAATACGATAATAAGGATAATTTGATAGCTGCAGTTCAAAGGGTGTGGAACGATATACCGGAAACAGTTTTAAATAATCTTATTGCATCCATGTCGAGAAGATGTGCAGAAGTTATCAAAAATAATGGTTACGCTACCCGCTACTAATTTTTTGTTCGTTTATTTTAGAAAAAATATTTTGTTTCTTCACTTTTGGCCGCTTTAAAAACTATAAAATTGTATTACTATATAATGTGTGATTATTTTAACCTTATAATTAATACCAAATAAGTACACCATAAAACGTATATATTTATTCCACTTTAAGTAAAGAGAATATTAGGGTAAGTAATTTAACAAAAATTGTAAAATGTTTCTTTACTTTTGGCCGATAGTGTATATATATATATATATATATATATTAGGGTGGTCCTTATTTTGGCTTTTTTCGAATTTTTTTTCACGATAGTCCTAAATCCGTTCTAAATGTATAAAAAAAAATTCCTGCCAAGTTACAGCTCTTAATTTTAATATTAACCTGGCCCCCCCGGCAGCCAAAGTTTTAAATGGAAATAACATGCAAAAAGTAGGTTTTGCTCTTTGTAATTTTTTATCTTGTTTACATATTAATTAACAATAATTTAAAATATATATTCTTATAGAAAATTTACCGCTCTACAAAAAAGGTCTCTTATGATTTTTTGCTAAACCTACTAAACTGCGCACCAGTCAATGTGTCGCGACCAAAAATTTCGTCCTTTTTCAAAACGACATAACTTTTTTGTTTCTTGAACGATTTTATTTTGGTTTGTGATGTCTGCTAGCCCCATTCTCTGGCAATTCATGCTATAGATATGAAGCTCACGGTTAATCACGTAAATTTACTACAGGGTGATATGTAAAACAGTGAAAAATTTCAATAACTTCATCCAAGCCCCGTTTGTAAAATAAATATTTTTTGTTCCTTTTTACTTTGAAGTAATGAAGTATTATGTCTTACCTTGAACCGTTTTTCAAATTTTTCGAATTGGAATCTTAGCAACAAAAATATGATTTTTTTTTTCAATGGAGTACATTTGATGCTTTTTTGTAGGCAATACACTCAGCCTTTTTAAGAACAAAAAGATAAGATGGTAAAAGATTGTTCCTTGAATAATTCTGAACAAGCGACAAGCAACAAACTTCCATTAATTTCAGAGGAACCTAAGCAAAGACCACTTTTTCAAAATGACATTTTGGAGAAAATTTGCGAAAACTAAACCTGAACCGATATTTACGTTCGTGACATGTTTGCTTTATAATTTTGACCTCCTGATGTGATTCAGTTGTCAAATTTAAGTTTTAGATGAAACCAACATCACCAAGAATCAAAATTCGAAAACAATTCCCGGCTATTAAATGTCTCAATAACATGCCTTTGCCAATGCCATTTGGGGATTCATTTTTGTTTGAGTGGTTAGGATAATGTTACATAAATTACATTTATATTGCACACTAGTGATAACTTATTACTGATAAGTACCTACCTAATTGGTAATAAAGTTAAATACAAAATTTGTTTGTTTATTTTTGAAAATTTTATGCGAAGATATAATCATAATAAAAAAAAAAACATTCAACAGAAAAATGTAACAAACAATAACAATAATAACTTTCAATATTTCGTTGGCCCTCCCCTAACCCGTAATAATTCGTTAACCCTCCTGAGCATTCCCTAGACCAAGTTCCTTAGAAATTACTGGGGTATGGCTTCCCATTCTTCCTGAATCGAATTTACCAATTCATCCAAATTTTCCATGCGTCCTTTCCTCTCTTTCATCTTCAGTTTCATGCTGCTCCAGACATGCTCAATATGATTCATATCCGGAGACAAAGGTGGAGAATTCATTTTCTCAATATCATGGTCCCTTAAATATTCATTTACGATATAAGCGCAATGCGGACGGGCATTGTCGTCCACCAACACAAAATTATTGGCATTTAATTTTCATCATTTGATCCTTGATTTGATCATTCAGTGACATGATAATAACGTACTAAAAATGCAAAACACAGTAAAAAAACAGTAAAATCCAGCAATCAGATTTTATTACGACATTTATCATCCAGGAATTGTTTTCTAATATTGATTCTTGGTGATTTTGGTTTTATCTGAAACCTAAATTTGACAACTGAATTACAATCAGGTCAAAATTATGAAGAAAACATGTCACGAACGTAAATATCGGTTCAGGTTTAGTTTTCGAAAATTTTCACTAAAATGTAATTTTGAAAAAGTGGTCTTTGATTAGGTTCCTCTGAAAATAATGGAAGTTTGTTGCTTGTCGCTTGTTCAGAATTATTCAAGGAACAATCTTTCACCATCTTATCTTTTTGTTCTTAAAAAGGCTGAGTGTATTGCCTACAAAAAAGCATCAAATGTACTCCATTGAAAAAAAAAATCATATTTTTGTTGCTAAGATTCCAATTCGAAAAATTTGAAAAACGATTCAAGGTAAGACATAATACTTCATTATTTCAAAGTAAAAACGAGAAAAAAATATTTATTTTACAAACGGGGCTTGGATGAAGTTATTGAAATTTTTCACTGTTTTACATATCACCCTGTAGTAAATTTACTTGAATAACCGTGAGCTTCATATCTATAGCATGAATTGCCAGAGAATGGGGCTAGCAGACATCACAAACCAAAATAAAATCGTTCAAGAAACAAAAAAGTTATGTCGTTTTGAAAAAGGACGAAATTTTTGGTCGCGACACATTGAGTGGTGCGCAGTTTAGTTCAAAAGATATTCCAGGTCAAAGTTCAATTTATAATTAATTTCACAGTTTTGCTCATTTTCACTAGGAAATAGCGCTTTAAAATGAAAAACATAGTATATTTTATAAACTGTATATTATTTGCTTTAATAAAACATCAAAATTTTCTAGAAATCATCAATTATTCAATGGTAGTATGATTTTAACATAGGTTTATTTATGAAATTTGACATAAGTTTAAAATAGTTTTCAAATTTCAGAGTATCATAAGCTATTTTAGAGACGAAAGCCCTTTAAAAAAAATTGACATGAAGAATTGGCACAAATATTATAGAAAATATTAGTATAAATATATTTTTTTATTTTAAATCAAAATTGATTTATACCATCTTCAAAATAATTATTACATTACATATTTGTTTTTTTCAACGAGTCTGGAAATCTTTCTCTATGATCTTTAACTAGTTGTAATACATATTGCAATTGTTTTTCATCTTTAGTATAATATCTAGAAAAATCTTGCACTAATTTAACTCCTCTTTCAGCACAATCATTTACAACTGACAGTGTCTTCACAAACTGTCGTCTCT